CACGTTTGGTCCATCTGAATCGACTGAACACTTTTTTGCCCACAATCCTTTCAAAAGCAATGGGTTCTTAAAAAGGAAGCTACTAGGAGCTCCAGGCACTGGTTTTAAAGCAAAAGTTTTCTTTTTACTGTTTGAACAATCCAATCCAGAATCAGGAAAAGATCACTAAAGAATCCGGAGCAAGATCTTTCATCTTAGCGTGACCACCACCGTAGTAGGTGAAACTTGCCCCATTTGGATGATTAGCCTCAATCAGTACCGATTTTACGATAGTATGGAACACAAGGCAAGCGAAACGCGTTAAGGTGATGGATAGATTATAGCACACATTAGACGAAATCATTTTGATAACATTCTGTTCCCCAAGCGAAAGCTCTATGCACATGCTGCGTTGAAACTGTGTTCTGATTTCTTCTGCTTATGTCATATGGCTGGACGTTACTAAAAAATTTTTATCGACATGTACGGATTTCTTAGACAATGAGTGGCCCCCAAGGTAGTATTCTAGACATCAGTTAAGCAGTCACAAGGCGGGCTAAACTTCATATTCCAAATATAAAGGTGTCCGCAACGCCCATGCCATGTTGAAATCCAGGTTAAACTCTACCATTCTTGGCGAGTCAAGTCCATTCCAGAAGCTTCTGTGGTCAGAAAGAAGAATGAGCCGTTTGTTATGGGCAGCCGTAACGTCTCGCTTTGCTTGGCATTGTTTGTTGTGTTGCCGTAGCACGTTGAGGTTACAGCAGACGACGGATAAAAAGCTGAGGATTTGCCTCAACAGTCCGGAGAACGTGAGACGCATGTTTACTCGTATGACAATGAAGGGTCCGGTTCGATATGTGCCAAAATACTGCTGCACCTGAACAGATATAAGAAAAGTCCTCTTCTCGAAAACGTGTCACGATATACGTTTTTATGCACTGTTCAGGTGCAGTAAGAAATAAAATACAATCCAGCTAACGATCGTCTCCCAAAATCATTACTATTAAAGCACGTACAAACAAACACATCGGAGCAAAAGTGGCTTCGGCTTACTTCTGCTTTCAACTCGGCGCAACGATCCGGGTGAGTTATGGAAAGTGCTAATTGACGAGCTTGACGATAGTACTAAATAAAGACATGAAATACCGATGAAACAATACTGAAGAATAAAAACAACCGTACGAATGCCAAATTCCTCCAGTCCAGCAACTCTGACAGTCGCTCAGTACGATTACGTAGGATAATACGTTGCCTCCGCGACAAACAGCAGAAATCGTACATGTACTAAAAACGCGTCCCGTGGTGCAAAACGAAATAATTCATCAACGTACAATCAATTAATTAATGAAGCGTACTTGAGCAAGTTGTAAAACAGATTCTTCTGCATTTTTGTACCGTCGGTCGACAATATAAATACCATAGCTCATCGGATCCGCCACATGTTCCTGAATAAAACAACCAAAACCGGAGAGGTTCGTTGTCACGGACGGTACGCCCATCACCGTGCATTCACCTGAGCGACAATGTCACGTTAAGGTTCATCGCTAAGGATAATATATGCAGTCTGCGGTCACGTTACAGCATATATGCTGATAAACAATAACAGATGCGGCATCGACTAAGCAATTATTCAGAGGCAAAACTTTCTGCAGGTAGCAGCAGCACAAATGGCACAAACTCTGGAGATCGTTGATCATTCAATTCCAGTGATAGCGGGAGAAAGTTTGCTCTATGCTACTCTTTTGCGAATCTAATAAGTAGTAATGCCAGAAATTCAAGGAACGCTCTAACTGATACCACGAGCAAATTCAACTGCGCAGATCTTACCATAATATGTATATAGGAAAGAATCTGTCACTGCTGATCCCTGCTCGCTGGTCCGCGACTTCACCACTTCCGTGACTCCACTGCGTACACTGGTCTGTACACTCATTGGTTTGTCTTTAAAGATTTGCTTTTGCATGATGTAAAAAAAAGCGCGAATAACGATAGCATTTCTCAGTAAAACAATTATGAGACCTGAGGCCCTT